GCTTGTGATTTCATCGTCCCTGTCATGCTTGCTCACGCTGTAGTATCACTAACGGCACAGGAAACGCCATCAATGATAGAGCTGTCAGTCAGGCCATCGCCACAACAACGAGATCAGGAAGGAAATGAATACCACCTGTACATATTTAAGACCTGCCCTTGTGACTCTACGATGCCCAGTATTAGTGTATTTTCACCTGGTTTATGCATTGTCATCTGTGAGCTACTTTGTTTTCGGCTGTGCTAGTTTACTGACCTTTTCTCACTTTTCAGATTACCTTCTGGCTTTTTGCTCGTGCTTGTGCTCTTTTTGGTTTTGGGGCTCTTGCCTCCTCAGTTTTGACTTTTGGATCTCTTTCGGTACCTTGACTTGTGTTTTTCATGGCCTTGACCCCTGCCCGTTTGCCAACTTCTATAATAATATCTAAACATTTAAAAACAAAATAAAAAGACATACTGTATTAAATGAAATACAAAAATATTAGTACAGTAATAAACTTTCTTTTGGCAATGCTCTTTAAATGAAAGAAAAATTCAGAATAGAAGCTGAAGACTGTGCTTAAGACCTTCCAAGAACTGACAGTTCCGGGTGTTTAGAGCAAGACCATTCACCCAGCATGGTGTGGTGTGACACAGAACACTGCCTCATGGACATTAGGGTGTGTTTTTGTGTTTTTGTAACATCTCAGCATTCACTTCAGTTGTTCTCTTTGTCACTCTCCTCCCTTCGATATCAAACATGATGTCTGTCCGTTTTTCCTTCCCAGTCCTTTTCACCCATCTTCTGCCAGTCCCTTATCTGTTCCTTCTCTTCGCCCTCCTGCTCTTCTGTCACTTTTCTTCTGTCTCATCTGAACCAGATATCCCCCATTTCTACCTTCCAGCTCCCTTCAAGATCCACCTGTCGTGTGTTCAGCTCTCACTTTTTGTTTTTGTTAAGGTTTTTCTGTGAATTGTTTGTACCGTTAAATTTTCCAAGTTAGTAATTGTCTTGACCATAAGTTACTTTGAAAAGTAACATTAGCTAAATTGAGAATTTTAATGATCAGTACTATTGCAGAGAGCAATTCTTTTAAAATAGTTTAGTAAAAAAGTTATTTCTTTTCCAGATCAAATACCTCCTCACTGTGTGACTACAATGAACATTTGGGCACCTCCGTGAAGGTGGACACACAGCATTATCTCCACAGCAACCCGGGCACCAATCAGCTGGCTTCTTACCAGCTGAGCTCGTTTCCACAGCAGCACAGCAACCTGCTGCCTACCCATAGCCTGAACTCTGGCCAGCTCCCCCAGTACCAGCGCCTGCCCTATCTCAACACCAGCTGCCCCCCAAGTGCCAGCCTGGCACCCACCCCACCTGTGGACTCCAACCCCTCCTACCTCGCTTTTGGAGCAGCTGGCAACACTGGGGTCATGACCTATGCCTCAGGAGGCCGTGCCTACTTCCAGACACAGGGAGGCAACCAGATTCTGCTGCAGCAGGGAGTCCACGGTGAGTTCCTTTGAATTTGGTTGTGTATCAATGTCTAAAGGAGAAGTAAGTTTAACAGCTAGAAGTTCTATAGAGTTCTATAGGAACATATTTGTAAACAGGTGATGAGGACTGACGTATCATGTTCTTAGCATGTTTACATCAATGGCAACATCTTTCAGGACTAAATGCAACCAATTAAAAAAAACATATAATTGGGATAGGGAATTGTTCTAAATAGTAAGATAAATGCAACAGAAATTGGAAAGGACAGAGGATCTAGAGGGCTCATTTAGGGAACAATGCTTTAAGATTTCTTTGGACAATAGCAGGAATAAAGAGGTGAGCTCAATTGCACTGTTGTTCAGTGAAGAACTTAAGAGCCCCACTACGATGTGTGACTGTGTATCCCGATGCTTAGCGACTTGCTAAGAGAACTTCAGACCTTCCTGAATTTCATGTGCTGTAAATGATTGGTTTCTGCTAATGCAATCCCAGTGAATATTCTCATATTGTTGCATTGGCCTCAGTGTTACCTTACTTACCTTTCCTCAGCGTTGCCTTACTGTGCAAGGTTTCTTATTCAGCCACAGGGATAAAGAAAGGTTTTTGAAAAGAAAGGGCCAGGTTTGTTCATGTAACAAGTCTGGAAAATCACAACATCATCTGCAGGTCTCTGAAGAGTGTGCAAACTCTTGGTGAGCAGCTAGCATTGCTGTGTACCAGGTATGGCATTCTCCTAGATTTTGTGGATCAGGCTCTGAAAGTTGAAAATTAGTCATGGGGAATTTTATAGTTTGTGGGAACAGAACATACAGATTTACTTATAATAGAGATTTGTTACAATAGTGTGATATCCTTATATTGTACACCCTAAATGTATTGTGTACACTTTCCTTAAATTTATACTTATTGTTAAAGCATTTTGTGTAGCCTTTCAGAAGGTAATATGCAGGCTACATAAAGCCTAGTTATAGGAAGTTTGATCCTTTCCATAATCTTAAAGTTAGCATGATGGAAAGGCGATTCATCAAAGAAACAAAATGTTCCACCTTCACACTCTCTGAGGACTGCCTCATGGTATTGAAGATGGAAGCTTCACCTTCACAGCTTTCACTGCACATGGTTAAGAATGTAACACCTGTGTGCCTCACTGAGCAAATGTACTGAAACAAGAAGCTATAAGAGGTGCCACTGTAAGAGGGCCTTCTCTGCAAAGAGCCCCTACAGATTGTCCTTACGGAAGGTACAGTTGTGAACCTATAGTGATTTGTATCCATCCAAATTGACTTTGCCAATCAGTAATGGATGTTACTGGCCAGAAGCTGTTCTTTGTGTGAGTGAAAAGAACAAATGACCGATTTAACATCATCTTCTTAGGGCCATCATGAAGGTTTCTGGTTTCCTTTCAACCTGAGCACTAAATTACCTAAATTAACTCAGTATTTGCTTAATTGAACATGTTGAAGCTTTTCCTTGTTCCTTAGAAGACTTATAAAATCTGCTGGGCAGTGGCTATGAGGACCGGAACTGGTTACTCTTTCCATAACCATCCTTAACCTTTGGACAGTATTATAGGATAAGCCAAAATATGATGAGCTACTGTATGTAATCACAATTGGAATAAGTTTCACCAAACTGGCTTAGTTTATGTTTTAAGTAATTGAACCGAAAACAAGTCTGGTTATGTCTATCTAATTCACACTTTGCAGGGCTTTGTGTATAAGCTTTTCAGTCCTTCACCACACCGTCTCAAGTTGCCATTTTATGGATTGGAGGATGTTTCACACTCTGTGCTTATAAAAGACTTTATCTCTTTCTTGGAGAGTACTTCAAAATGGCGAATAGACTGTTTAACGTGTTTCATAACACACACGGGCTCCAAGGCTTCAAGAGGTGAAAGGGAAGGTGACATTTTTAAATGGCAGACTAATAAAGGCAGAGTAGCAGCTAATAGACGAGTCATCAGTCTTCTCTGATATTCCTTTCATTCTGGAGTGTTTTTCCATCTCTTTCCCCTGAGGTCAAAGGACATGACAGCCGTGGTTTCTCAGGCAGACTTGTTTCTATAACATATAATAAATACAATGACAAAAAAGAGATTTTTTTCATATCCATCCAATTCCTAAAGTATATTGCTTCAGGGGAGGAAAGCCAGAGGGTCAAGCACTTTGCTCAGATTGGATACGCTGAGCCTTGTAGGAAGGCCGTTGAGGATCACTCAGACGGCCAGGCTCCGACACCGTGCTGCCAATCACTTAGTTTCAGAAGCTATAGATTTTTTTGCTTTGCTGCATGTGTTGCTCCGCTGCTATGTACGGACAGGGCCTGTCAGCCTGTCCTCTTTCAGTCGCAGTCAGTGGGCTGGGGGAGGCTTCTTTATTTCCTGCCCTGTCAGCCCTCTGAATGCTTCTAGAGGTGACCGGGTTTGGGTGTCATTCAGTGAAGTTCGAGTTTTGTTTCCTGATTTCTCAACTGGTATACCTTGGCACAGTGGTATGCCTTCAGCCTTTAACAGGTCTGAAAAAAAGCCACACTTGGGGGAAAACAACCCAAATTGTTTTTGTTTTATATTGTTTATACTGTTCATTCGTGGTATGAAGTAACCAAACCAAAGTGTTGTGTTGCATATTTAGTACACACACGTGACAAAGGCCATGCTCCAAGATTTTTCGTGTGGGAATCACTTGCGTGGCGAGTTCAGTTTTTCAGATTTGTCAGATGTAAAAAAACAAAAACAGAATACTTGAGAGTGGCTGAGCCAGAGCTCCTTGTTTCACTGACAGCGATTCTGCAAAGCTGTTGAGTTTACAACATGAGGCCTGCACAGAGATGCAGGCTGTTTTCATATGCGCACTGAAATGAACAAGGGTTCCTTTAGCTCCATCCAGAGTTTGTCAGTTTGTCCTGGTCATTTACCCTGTTGAATGCATCTGGATGCAGCTTGGTAATGGGTTTATTTATAATTCTAAAAACAATTCAAGAGAAACTTGGAAAGAGAAAATTGGAAAGAAGCTGGCATTGTACTATGGGTATGCGTTTACTGTTGCTGTCATACTGTACATAAAAATGAGAACGCGTGTCAGTGTGTCCTGCAATCGAATCTGGCCTGTTCAGGATATAGTCCCATCTTGCTTTTATCATAAAGGGTCTTGGTTGCTGTGATGTTTGCCAGAATTAAGGCTTTTGGATGGACTATTGGTAGAGTGGGTGTACATTACCAGTATGTCCAAGGTGATAAATTCAAATTTGTTACTTTTACCTTCTCTAAACTACAGTCTCGGCTAGTTTTGTTCTCTCAAGATGTATATACTGTATATACCTTCTTAAGCATCTGCCACTTTATCTTTCTCGCGTGTCTGTCCCACTTTTTGTGAATGGTATATTTAGCCGAGTCTGTATTTTGCTCTATTAAATACATTGCATACAGTATGTACAAGCCTTAATAGCAACGTTTTATTTTTTCCCGTTTTACCACTTCGATGCGTAACATCTTTAGGGTGTTTAGTCCATTTTCTCAGGCTATTGCATAACGGCTTTGTTAAATTTTTCATGCTGCATTCTGCCAAAAGCATTTTAAAACACTGAACAACCACAACAAAAATAAAACTGTCAGATGATATTATTTTGGTAACCATAAAAAAAGCTAAAAGGATAAATTACAAATGTTTCTCTTTCAGTTTGGAGGCATAGAAATAGACATCAAGTGTGGCTGGAAGGTTTTTCCATTATTCACAAGTCTCGGTACTAAAGGATTTTTCTTGCAAGCAGGGTCTATGAGAAATTAAAGTGCATTTTATATTTATGTAGCTTGATTTATTTAGTGCATTATGGGGTCATGAAGCAGATCTCTGAAATTAAATGCATTTCAAGTTATTCTACAATTTATGTGTGTAATTGAACTATAGTTAAATTATTTTCTACTATATATTCTACACTAAACACTGCTGTTGCATCTTTTTACAGTTACTCAGTATTATTTACCAACTTAGTATTCAGTTAAGCATTTTGCCTATGTGCACTTCACAGTAAACAGAAAATAACATGGACCAGATATTTGCTGGCTGGAACAATCTGTAAATGTATCTATGTCCAGTTGAGTAGGATTGTCATAAGATGGTTCACCAAAAAAATAATTCAAAAGCACCTGTTTGGTTTGGAGCCATCTTACAGTATATGTCCAACTGTCGTGACCCAGTATGAAGCAGCCTGGAAATTGGCTTTCCTAAAGCTGTCTCTGTCTGATTTCATAAATTTCAGCCCTTCTGTGGAAGCTGACAAAATCGGTAGTGATGTAAAGTTTAGAGACTCTATTGTAGGCTTGGCGGCGAGACGCTTTATCTTTATAGATTCTAGCTGTATTTCAGCACAAGGACAAAACTGCCTGGCTGAATAGAGGTCAATGAGAACAGCGTCTGAGATGATTTATTGTAGTGCCAAGGTTCAAGAGCTTTGGACCAGCCCTTGTACTGAACTACATAGTACATGAGCAGTTTGAGGTACAGATCTGTCTTAAACCCATTTGGCTGTGAGAACAAAAGCCAGGCCACAAGGATGAAATCATAACTTCCCCTCTGACGAGGTGGGATGAAACAAGCAGTTGCTGCAGTAGGGAAGATGAGGTGTAGGGGAGGATGATGTCTTGCACATGTTTGATTCTTTGGATGCGGTGGTGCAGTAGCCCTTTGCTCTTGGACCTCAGCTGCCAACTATTAAACTCATGTCTGTGCATGTTCAGATGCAGCACCTTGTATTGGACTTCTGTGTGGCCAAAGGCAAGCTGGAATAGATAACAGACATGAAATAACTCACATGCAGGAGCACTTTTCAGCTTTACCTGGAGTGACGTTTCCTGTTGGATCACTATAGGACCACTTAAAAGAATATTTTTGCTCCTACTCCATTATCCTCATCTACTTTGTTATTACCTTGTCTTGGAATTCACGTTTCACCTTATGTGAAGTTTTATGTCTGTTTGTTTCTTCTGCAAAACGATTCCAGAAACCTCACGTTTAATTAATAATCAATAATAAATGTACAACGTGGATTTAAAAGGTCATTTTAACATAATAGCTTCCCAGCAATATTAGAAATTCTCCAGTGTTGAGATATAAATTGCTTTTGTGTTTTTTTTAATGGAAAACTGCAATGCATTTGTTGATATTGGGCATCTCCTGCAGGACCAAAAAATCTAGTGATTGTTTAGGCCCTGTTCCAGACTGACACTGACTGACAGAAAATGCAGGAGCATTACTTATTATGTTACTTGCTAAGGAAATGTTTGCTGCAGTTCTACACTCCAGTGAGGCAGTCTCAATTCTCTAATAAAAATATTTGGCAGGGTGCTCCCCTTCTTTCTTCAGGGGAACCAGGTATTGTACCGTTGGGTGGATTTTTAAAATAGCCAATCAGTTTAGTCAACCAATTTAAAACAGCCAATCAGGTTATTCTGCTTATCACCGGGAGGAGGGAGGAAGCCCGAGTATCCCAAGCACATTCCCAAGACCATGTGGAGAATATGCAACACAGTATCCAGGGTCGGAACTGAAAACAGGACCCTGATGCTGTGTGGACTGTGTGGACAGCAGTGCTAACATTGTATCACCCAGGCACCCGCTCTAAAGCAATAGTTTTGAAAGGAGAAATTTCTTAGTTCATCTGATTTGTGTTGTGTTTCAGGGGGAATAACAACCTTTCAGGCCTTTCCGTGGAACGACATATACGGCCAGCCCAGCCAGTACGCCCCTACACTCTATCAGAGAGCGCCGTACCAAGGCCTAGCCCGGGAGCAAAGCCTGTATCAGCAGGCCCCAAGCCTGATGCCAACCCAGCGTTATATTCAGGTCCAGAGGCCCGCTGCAGGGTCGGCACAGAACCTTTTCCAGGGGACCCAAAGAATACTCCCTGCTCCAGCTGTGTACCAGCCTCCCCGGCCCATGCGGGCTGAATTCCCGGCCCCGGAGAGCTCCGAATGTCAGGACACGCCAGCTGGGACAAAAGAGCCGGACTCCAGCAACAGTAAGTCAGACTGCGACTCCGTACAGCAGACGCTTCCCGAGCAAGTTACAAGCCAGCAAGCCCGAGGCACGGAATCCGACACGACATTCGAGTGTGACTTTTCACCCATTCACTTCTGAATGCTTATCTAAGTTTGTTTTCTGTTACCTTGTTTTGTATTTGGACCTGGGCATTTTGCTTTCAATTAAAAGGCTTGGCTGAAAGTGACGTCAAAGGTGTTTTCTCTTTGTTCCCTGAGCAGCAGTGCAGAGGTTTCCTGAGCGCCACTGGTGCTGGGTGGGCATGACTTGGCCAAGGTGTTCTGAGCTTAGCTGTGCCACAACAGCCACTGCAACTTGCCTGTGATCAGTGCTATCAGTGAAAGATTCACCATTCCCCAGCAAAGTGTCATAGAGCTGACAGTGTACCAGGTAGTGTGGGTGGTAATAGCAGAGAAGAGTCTCCACAGTTCTTGTTGTTATAGGTGCAGCAGTAAGCCGAGATAATGAACTGTTGATTTCAAAGCTGGAAAGAACAAAACAGAAAAATAATTAGTGACTCCAGATGTAAAAAAGCCTAGTATTAAGCTTGTGCACACCTAGTGTAAGCTCTTCCGTTAGCCATGCCCAACCTTAACACCAAAACGGGGGAGGCACCACAGTTGTCTAGACCAGGACCACCCTAAAAACACAGAACTCCTCTTTCAGACACAGGAACATTTTTTTTTTAGCATTTCCCATGTCACCTTTTCCCTTTCTTCTCCTGATGTCAAAAAAGGAGTTAGTCACTCTAAATTGCCTGTATGTGTACACCCTGCCCTGGTTTTGTGTCCTGTCCTGCCTTGTGCCACTGGGATAGGTCCTGAGTTTTGTGACTCTTGGGTGGCTTTCTGATTATGGGCAGATGCTGTTGTAAATGGCTTGACTTTAAGGTGCCACATTGGCAAAATGAATAAGAAATTTGTAGCTCCTTAAATGTTCTCTCTTGCTACTTGTCCATGACGCTAGGAAGTGTTAATATGGAGAGTGTATGTATCCATATTAATTGAATCTAGCTTGGGCAGAACATGTCGCATATCAAAATGAGTTTTAAATCCGAGTTTAACAACAGCTGCCAACTATTAAAAAGCTCTGTGAAGTTGGCACCCCTACAAACAGCACAACAATGAAACCCAGTGCATTTGTTTGCACTTTGTTCCCAAGATATAGTGACTTATTTATTAGGAGATGTGACATTTTCCTCCCTCTCAGGATGCCACAGGAGAATCAATCCAGCTCAGTTCGTTTGTGCTCCATCTGTGCTGTTCAAAGCAGCATCTGAGGGTCTTTTGTTTCCGAGATATGAAACCTTCTTGTTTGGGGGAGTCACATGACTCTTGTTTCTGTTGTAACGGCTGAGTTACGTCACACTTCCTGAGACATAAGGTGCTATATCTTGGAAACGAAAGCAGGACAAACACTTCTTTCATTGGCACAAACTAGCACAAACAGAGCAATAACAAATGTGCAGGTTTTCATTGTTTATGTTGTTTGTAGGGGTGCTACCTTAATGGAAGTCTATTAAAACTGTCAGTGATGTACAGTAATAAATTAAAAGATAAGATATTCTGAACTTTCAGAATCTGATGATGTCATTTAGGGGAGCCTCGCAAAAGTAATTTTTTGGGGATCTACTTTCAAGTGCTCTCATTGAGATTCTCTCATTGTTTCTTTTCAAAGGCACATCACTTAAATTTCAGTAGAAAACGTAGTGAGAATAACAAAAAAAATCTTTCCAGTGCGGCATGAACTTGTGCTCCAGACCTGTACAACATCTGCTTGTCCTGTTAAATACATCTTCCCTTGATTAAACATGTCTTGTAGTATAACATCAGGAAAGAAAGTGATCCTTGTGAACATTTGCATTACATAATTCAGCCTTTTAAGGCTGAACTCTCTGGCCTGTGTGTCTTCAGCCACAGTCCACTGGGGAGCTGCTAGTCTTGGGCTGACCCTGATGCCTTTTGCCTTTTTGCTTTGCACAAGATGTATTATCTTACCATCTATATATGGAAATGTAATTGGTTTATTGACCTGGCTCCCGTTCTAGAGACAAACCACGTGTGTTCTCACCTGAACTCGGTCACCCACATAATTGTTGGCCATCACTTCACTTCACACTTGTACTTTTGTACATGTTAACCATGACAAATTCTCCACAGTAAGCTTTCATAAAGGAGCTTTAATGAGCATAATCTCATTTACCCTTTCCTTAAAGGATTTAGACACCCAGTGTTCTTTTGTGTAAGAAAATGCCTCCTTTTCTTAGTCCTCAATACACCTGTGGGTGACTTTTTTGCATAATTGTGCCTGCCTTTGAAGATTTGAAATGCTTGGATCAGTTCGTCTTTCTGATCAAGACTTAAGGGATTTCTTTAACTTGTCTTTGTGTGACATTCCTTTCAGACTGGGAATTATCATATGTGAGTTCTTTTTTGCAACCATAATATTCTTGTAGCTGTGAGACCAAACCTGTGCACACAATACTCCTGGTGTCTTGAGTAATCCTGAAAACCCTTCCTTTGAATTAAATTCTACACATTTCCCTAAAATGACCAAGCTACATATCTGGACTCATTGTAATGAGGTCTTAAAAAGATGAGATTCTGAAATCCCCAAGGGCATTGATAAAGGCAACTCAGTGCATTTCTTTTTAAAGGAATGGTGGTTAGCCCTTTGCTCTCAAACGTTAATTAGAAACTCAGTTTGAAAGACTTCCAGGAAAACAAGGCTGAATAAATGGCTAAATCTTAAACTTAAAAAAGAATTATTACACAAAAGTCATTACACTGATTGTTTCAGTTGGCTTTTCTATTGATTGTTGTGTGTCTCTGTTGACCTTGGGGACTTCAGCAGACCCATAATGGAATCCTGTCCTTGGGTGGTGGCAGAAAGTATTTTTGGGTAGCGTTGGCCCACACGGTTTAAAAATGCCTCCATTCTTTGAAAAATGTCCAAATTCTTCTAACACCCCATGCCACACTCACTCCAAGCTCAGAATTTCTGTTTCAGGTTGTTTAGCTTACCGTGATTATTTTTTTCTTGTGGGATTTTTTTTTTATTGAGCATTACAAAATTGGTAGTAATTTCAGGTTTCTTTGAATAGCTTTCTTCAGACCTGCAGTTCTGGGGGATGTTATTTGTGTTTAGAACTAAAAATGTAAAAACTTGTACCAGACATATGACACATCCTCCAGGCAGACCTTCACCTCACCTTAAAGTGTTTAGCAAAAACAAACTTGCCACTTCCTCTGACCTGTTCTCTAAAAACTCTCTGTAGTGAGGATACTGGTGCAGAAAGGCAGCTGCACATCTGCCAGGTGGAAACTGCAAATCAGTGGTGCTTTACAAATGGGTGCCGTACTATTTGGTAAGTTCTTTTGGAACCTTTGTGCACTTTACATTGAGGGAATGGTATTACAGTAAAGTATTTAAAAGGTTATTCTAAAAAATTGTAATCTGTAGAAGACTTAGTTGCTTTACTTTAATCATAGCAGCATTTTAAAAAACCTAGCATACAGAACTTGTACCACATACATTTATTATACCCAGCATCTCGGGCATTACACAACATTTGCCTTTTATTGGTAAACAAATTAATGTAGTATTGTGACGAGAACAATATTGTTGGTGAATACAAGCATAGGACTTAGCCATGTCACTGGATCAGAATGCTAGAACACATTTACAACAGGGCTCTTGAGCAGTTCAGCCAGTCCATCCCCATTGCTTTGACATTTCCCTCTTGTCCACTGACACTAACGTTTGACCACATGATGCTACACATATGCAAGAAGAGCAGCTTTGCTTAATCTCCACAGGGAAGATAAATTAATGCTTTATCTGCTCCAAATACAGCAAACAGGGTGACCATAGGATCCCAAGTTCATGGGGAAACGTGACAGAATTTTATACCTAACGTTAAAAGAAATTGCATTGCATGTTTCCTAAATTGAGAATCATTGCTTAATAACAATGCTTGAAAGTGACAATAGAAAAAAACAGAAGATACATTTCTGTTCTAAATATCCAAATGTATACTCTCTGGCTCCCCAGTGAGCCTGTATTGAATAAAGTGGTTAGAAAATGAATGGAAATTCACACATATACTCTTTTATTTTGTCACAGTGTACAGTGTTTTATAGTTATTATTCATATATTGACCATTTAGCTTCTCCAAACAAATCATTAACATTGATCAGCTGTTTTCTGGGTTTTTTCTGACCAATTCTAAGAATAATGACCAACTAATCATTATCAGAAAATAATTCTATTAAGTACCAGATGTAATCTCAGGCAAAGTGTACTGATTCAATTACTCAATTGTGTTTCAGTTTAACAGTATTCTAGTGCATCAGTTTAACATACAGTAGCATCATATTATCACAAGCAGAATTGCTCTGATCCAGCTTTGAAAACCTTTTAAGAGCTGCTTTTGCTTGAATAAAATATGTGCTGAAGCATATGAGGATGCATCATGAGGATGCTTTATTTCAGTTTTGTTATGACAACTGGAATACTAGACTGGACTCAAGGGCTTGACTAGTTTTTCCACAGGAAAACTTCCACAGTCTTTATGTGGAAGACAGCCTAGACCCAGCTGTTGGATTTATTTTGCTCTGTAATACCAGGTCTGTTTCATGGCTGCCAGACATCACCTACTTCCTCTATGAAACTCTCCATCCAATTGTGGTAATCGGTGAAACAGTACTCTTTAAAAAAGGGAGATTGTCAGGCACAAGGCAGTATACACCCTGGATAGGACGTCTGTACGTTGCAGGGCACAGGCAGACACAAACTCAGACACGCACACACTCACACCAGGGCCGGGTTTCCAAGAAACCAGTTAACCTACTAGTAGGGAAGTACAGTAGGAGACCAGAGGAAGCCAGAACAGAAGAAGACCACATGAACAGGGGATAAACATGCAAACTCCACACACGTAGCACCCCAGGAATTTATCCCAGGACCCGAGAACTGCGAGATGGGAATGCTAACCATTGTGCTACCATGCCACCCCCCATTAGTTCAGTGTTCATACATTTCCCAAGTTTTCTAGCATTCTGAGCCTTGAAAAAGACTCGCAGCCAGACTTCACAAAGGTGAATAGCAATAAAGTATCCACAATCGTCATGCTTCTGACTGCTCAGCTTGTGTGGTGAGATCATTAAACTCTAAAATTAC